ATTGTCCCCCAGCCTGTAGCTTGTCTTCTCATTATCTTGACAGTGTCTTTCACAGAGCAGAAGGTATTATTTTTAATGAAATCTAGCTTATCAGTTATATTTTTATGGACTATATTTTTGGTGTTGTACCTAAAAAGTTATTGCAAAACCCAAGGTCATCTAGATTTTTTCTTTATTTTTCTAAAATTAGTATCAAGACAGAAACTTTTTATTACACATGTACATTTTCTGTGTGATGGGATTGCAGAAGCACGTGGTTCTTGAATGAACTGGTGATTTTTTTTCAATTTTCAATTTTCAATTACAGTTGATTTTCAATATTATATTAGTTTCAGGTGTACAACATAGTGGTTAGACATTTATATATAACTTAAAGTGATAGATCAATGAAACATAATAGACAACCCAGAAATAAACCCACATCTATATGGAACGTCTTTGCACTCCGCTCGCCGCAGCGCCCGGCCCCGGCCGCACCCGCCGGCCCCATGAGGAGGGACGTGAACGGAGTGACCAAGAGCAGGTTTGAGGTGTGAGCTTGGGGGAGGAGGATGGTTGGGCGTGAAGTAGGAGATTCCCGCTCTCATACCCCCTCGCCTCCAAATTAGCACTGCACCGAGCCTCCTCCCTTGCCTGGCGCCATCACCTACCGACCGCCAGGCTGCCAGACTTCTTTCCCCTTCCTCGGGGCCCGAAAGCCCAGTGCAAGCCCGGCCACCCTAGCCTTCCCGCAGGTCGCCTCCTTCCTTTTCCACCCGCGGGCCCCGGCAGGGGATTAGCTCTGGCGCCCTAATTCCCCCCTCCCCCCAGTATCACTCAGCTTTGCATTCTTTACACAACCCTTGGCTTGTCTCCCTCCACCCGACAGGAAAAGCATCACAGCTCTGATCGACCAGAGCTTGCTGCTTTTCTTTCTGCCACCTTATTCTTGAAGCGAGATGGGGAATTTATGTGTCTGGGGCCATTTGTCAAGTTTTAGAGACCTTGGTTAAAGTAGGGAAGTGGGGGCAGTATGCTGGGATGAGAGAGGCGACCACGAGTTTTCGGTGCTATGTTTGGTTGGGGTATTGTTCTGGTACTTCCTCTTTCCCGTTTAGTCTGTACTTTTGTAGCTCATTGTTTTGGGGAACTCTTAGATGTTATAGACTTTGAGATTGGGACGAAGGTCCGAGAAACTTTAGAAAATCCTTTCAAGTTTGTCTCTAAGAACTTTTCCTCCTCTGGCGAGAGAGGTTTATAATCATGGAATTGAGAAATGGATGAGGAAATAAGGAAACGCCTGAAAGCGTGTTTAGAGAGAAGTCACCACGTAGGGAAATGATTCCTTTGGAAAGTGAAGTATTGTAACTACAAATGAATTACAGTAGAATAGTAAGGTACATGGTTTATCAGGGGGATTAAGAAGAAGAAAGAAACTTCAACAAGAAGAGAAAATGTTACCTGGCCTTTTCTGGCAAAGAATCAGGCTGACCTGGGATCACTCACAGCTCAGTGTACATCTCACTTGGTGTTTTTCTTTATTTCCATTTGAAGGATGAAATTGTAAGACAGGGAGACAAAAGTTACAGAAACTTGCCAACTAGGTGCAGAGGGTGAAATTGTTTCCTAAAGGTCTTCACATCATTCTATTCCTTGATTTCTTTTCATGCTTATGGGAAAAATATTTTAACTTATCCACAAATGTCAAGATAAGAAGTGTTTGGGGGAAGTTTAAATTCAGAGCTACAATATTACTGTTGCAGGCGAGGGGTGGAGAAATTAAGGAATGGGTCTCTTTAGAGTTTTTATATTTAACTTAATCATGGGAAGAAAGTATTATAATAGATAAGATTTGATGTTTAATAGAGCTTTATGTTGCTCTAATATAGAGAGTCTCAATAAGCTTAATTTTTGGTGTTTTCATATTCAGTACTATAAAAATCAGGACTGTCATTGAAATTATTGAACAGACATTTAGCAGTTAACAGGATCTTAAAAGCACTGAAATACTGAAGATTTGTGTGGGGGGTAGCGTTTTGCCACAGCAATCTGCTCTTTATCATTTTGCTATTCACTTTTTTAGGTTGTGTAATTGATGGAAAGAGTTCTTTTGTAGTATGCTTTAAAATTGCATGGCCATATCTTTTTATAATTTATCTTATATTTTAATTTGTAGTTTATCTGTAGTGGCGGCACTAAAATAATAAGGAAATTTATTGCTTTATTAAGCATATTTACCTCGATTGGTATGTAACTGGCAGTTAAAGCTTTCCAAATGTGTCTGAGAAGATAAAAAGAATAAGGAGAAAAAAAACCCTTCTGTGTATTTTTCATGTTTAAAGTGTTTATAAACCAGAAGCTAC